GTTCATTACAGCATTCTACTTAACAGTGAAAAACTGGGAACAACTTAAATGTCCAATAGGGGATGCATTCATCAGAATATACTAGATTATTCTATAGTAAAAAAATTAAAAATCAGTGGCTTAACAAAGCAAAGTGTAAGTTCTTACTTTCTACCAGGTCTTCTCTGAATCTAGACAATTCCTAGGGCAATGTCTGTTCATGCCAAGATTCAGCAATCCAGGTTCTCTTGATCTTGTGGCTTTATCATCTCAATAGGAGGCCTTCTTTACTGTGGCAGGGAATAGAGGGCTAGAAGGTCTTACACCTGCAGTGAAATATTGGAACCCAAAAGTGATACAAGTCCCTTCTTCTCTCAACCCACTGGCCAGAGTTAGTCATGTGGCTCCAAATAGCTGCAACACAACAAAAAGTAGAATTTCTTTTATGTGTCCAAGGAAAGAAGAACTGGGTATAGGTGAGCACTAGAAGTCTCACCCCAAGAAAAGATTAAATGGTATATCCATGCTATGGAATACTACACAGCTGTTTAAAAGCTGTATAGGTAGGTAGATCTATGTTTAGTGATTTTTTTAAAAAGGTCTAAGACTTTAATAAGCGAATGTCTTAAGCAACTTGATCTCACTTATATTAAAAATATGTTTGTATATATTTATATGTGTGCAAATGAATAGCAAAGATTTGTCTAGAATGATACAGTCTAACAGTGGTTATCTCTGAGGAAGGAGTTGATTGGAGAAAGACTCAGATGAAGGGGACTTTCAAGTTTCCCTGTGTATTCTTCTACATTGTTTACCTCTTTTAAAATGAAGCTGTATTCACATATTTATCATGAATTTAAATTGGTTTTACATTTGTAAAAAGTAAGTAAACACATCTTGGAACCTGTCTCCTCTAGCAGTTCTATAACAGTCTTTGAGGTTGGTTTTTTTTTTTTTTCCATTAATGCAAATATATAAATTTTAGCAAATTAGTTGCCTGTATTTTGTTGTCATAGCCAGAGGCACTTAGTCACAGGAAGGACTTAGAATATATCACTATCTTCAGTCTATACCCTGGAAACAGAATCCGACTCCAAACTCTTGGCACATGTCTGCTGGGGAGTGTGCTCAGTCAGAAGCAATACTTATGAGTGGTGACAGAAGCCAGTATGGGCACAGAGAGAGACTGAACTGTCACACAGTTACAATGGAGGCCTTGGTTGACGGGACTGACCTTCAGTATTGCTCTGCCTTGAGGCAACTGCGCCATCCTCACCCAACA